GCGTGCGACAGCAAGCGGCTCTTCTGTCCAATCAGATACCGATACACAGCCTAGCGAAATAAAATATGGTACAACATACAGTAATAGAAAAAGTACATCTCGATTTTTTTAGAATATATATTTTACACATTTATTTTAAAGTTATTATAATTATTTTACTTTTATATTGATTTAACAATTTTCATATATGGGGCGTGTACCGACGCTTAAAAGAGAGCTGTGATTGGCTACAGTTTGGGATGACGCGTTGTTGTTTTGTTGTGTCGCAACGCGTTTCGCTGAAAGGAGAGTTGCTGTGTTTGTGTTGAGTTGCCGTCAGTATTCTCTCCTCATCATTGCTGATATTCTGCTGTCAGGCAGATAAAGCGCTAATATGGTGTGTAATCGATTTTAAGATACCTTTAAATTTGCTTTTTAGCATGACGCCTTTTATCGTGATTACTATTAGAACTTGCTAGCTAATGCTAAGCTAAAAGCAATAGAAAGCTGCACTGTCACTGTAGCAGAAATCATGAGATTGGATGTTTGGTTATTATTGAAATTAAATTTACATTTATTCATGAACGGGAGTTTTTTTTTTATACATAAACATTTCAGCATAAGGAGAGATTAACATAGAAGTGCAGCGATAAAAGTTGCAGCATTATTGCATTTGTTATTAATTGATCTTAAACGCTTAGTCTACTTATAAACGTAAATGAGAGAGAGAGAGAGAGAGAGTGTATATATGTATATGAATGTATGTATATATATATATATGTGTATGTGTGTATATACAGTGGGTACGGAAAGTATTCAGACCCCCTTAAATTTTTCACTCTTTGTTATATTGCAGCCATTTGCTAAAATCATTTAAGTTAATTTTTTTTCCTCATTAATGTACACACAGCACCCCATATTGACAGAAAAACACAGAATTGTTGACATTTATGTGTTCTTCAAAGTTTGTGTTTTGACTGTTTCTCCATCAGTTCTCCTTCAACATGTTTGAGCCCCATGTGGGCCGGGTTTTCCAGAACCGTTTCTCCACCCAGTACCGCTGTTATTCTGTGTCCATGCTGGCAGGACCCAACGACCGTTCAGATGTGGAGAAAGGAGGAAAGAGTATGTCATAGTCTAGAATATTGTAAAGATGTTTCAACACTGCAAGCAAAGCTACGTGAAAGAGAATTTATTTTGTAGATTTGGGTTGCATTTCATTGAACTAATGCAGATATCATGTTGTACTTTCAGTAATTATGCCCCCGTCTGCTTTGGACCAGCTAAGTAAGTTACATGCATTTAATTAAAAATGAAAAACTGTATTTCCTATCATGTCTGGTGATATATGTGGTTTGCTTTTCAGGCAGACTTAACATCACATACCCCATGCTGTTCAAACTCACCAACAAGAATTCCGACAGAATGACACACTGTGGTGTTCTGGAGTTTGTGGCAGATGAAGGCATCTGTTACCTCCCTCACTGGGTATAACACATACAGCAGATAGACTCTTGCTGGATCTTGCAGGCACTTTGTTTTTGACACTATTGGATTCATTTTGTCCTCAGATGATGCAGAACTTGTTGTTGGAGGAGGGTGGTTTGGTCCAGGTGGAGAGTGTGAATCTCATGGTGGCCACATACTCCAAATTCCAGCCGCAGAGTCCAGACTTCCTGGATATCACAAATCCTAAAGCGGTGTATGCTAAAATACCATGCACCTTTTACACAAAATACATTATAACTAATATCTAGATCTGAATGTGCTGGTTTATTCATATTTTCTTTTTTTTAGATTAGAGAACGCTTTGAGGAATTTCGCCTGTTTGACCACAGGAGACGTGATCGCTATCAATTATAATGAAAAGGTGATTATATCTGTTACTCCGTGTACTGATTTATGTGGTAAAAGCCCTGATGCACTAAACCAGAAATTTCTGTCTTCCAGATTTATGAGTTACGTGTCATGGAAACCAAACCAGACAAGGCGGTGTCCATCATTGAGTGTGACATGAATGTAGGGATGCTTCTTTTTTTTTACACAGTTCACACAATATATGAGCACACAATAATACCTGACATGTCATATACATGATATACACTACTGATCAAAAAGTTTGGGTCAGTAGTACTTGAAAGAAATTAATACTTTTATTCAGCAAGGATGCATTCAATTAATCAAAATTGATACGTTAGAGGACATTTTATAATGTTAAAAAAGGTTTCTATTTCAAATAAATGCTGTTCCTTTGAACTTTCCATTCATTAAAGAAAATGGATCACAGTTTCCTCAAAAATATGAAGCAGCACTACCGTTTTCAGCATTGGTAATAATCAGAAATGTTTCTTGAGCAGCAAATCAGCATATTAGAATGATTTCTGAAGAATCATGTGACACTGAAGACTGGAGTAATGATGCTGAACATTCAGATTTGATCACAGAAATAAATAACAGTTTAAAATATATTCAAACAGAAAACATTTATTTCAGATTGTAATATTTCAGTTACTGAATTTACTGTATTTTTGATCAAATGAATGCAGCCTTTATGAGCAGAAGACTTAAAAAAAAAAAAAAAAAGAAAACTTAAAAATCTTACTGACCCAAGCTTTTGAATGGTGCTGTACATTTGATCAAATCTGTTTTACATTTACTGGATACCTCAGTGTCTCTCTAATTACACAATTTTTGTCTTTCAGGTGGACTTTGATGCTCCTCTTGGTTACAAAGAACCAGAGAGACACATGCAGCGTTCTGAAGAACCAACAGTATGTTCTGACAAACAGAAATCCTTTACATCACACTACAGCACAATATTATAATTATAATTCACATATATGTTGTTCTTAATGCTCATGTTTACCATGCTGCGGTAGGAAGAGGAAACTGATCCCAGTAACTATGAGATGGACATCGGTTTCAGAGTAAGTCAAACAACGATTATCATTACTCCAGTCTCATGCACCTTCATATCTGCTTTGAAATAAAATGTTACCTTGACAAATAGACTTGTTCACTTCGATTAATATCTTGGCGTCTTTCCTTCCTGTTTTTCTCCACAGGCCTTTACCGGTTCTGGGAATCGTCTTGATGGGAAGAAGAAAGGCATTGAGCCCAGTCCAGCACCCCTCGATCCCAGTGACATCAAGCGGTACCCACCCACCACCTCTCATTCTCACGGTCGAAGCTAAACTTTCATTTTAATTGCTTTTTTTTTTTTCATATATTTTATACAGAGGAATTCCTAACTATGATTTCAAAATCGGGAGGATCACCTTCATCCGTAACTCCAGACAACAGCCCCGCAAAATTGAAACGGTAAGTGAAATTAAGGAGCAAATAAGGGTTTAGGGTTTAAACAAAACATTTCTATATTCACAAATGTAATAAATTGTCACTGCTATACAAGCAGTAAGTAGAGGTTTTGCAAATCTCTTCTTATTTTAATCATATTTTCTTGTCTCCAGGATGATACAGCCAGTAACTTCATTGCTTTCTCTGGGGAAGGACAGTCCCTACGCAAAAAAGACAGAAAACCCTGATTACACACACACACAATCGACCTGGACACAAAGTCAACTACTGTTGGATTATTTGTGCTCTTTTTGAACTACCATATACTCAACATGGACAGTTATTTGACGACACGCATCTGGATTTCCATTAGGACCTGACTGATGTTTCTCTGCACATGACAAATGATGTTTTACAAATGGTTTGGCATACTGAATCCCCTTTTTCATATATTAGGAAACGCAAAACGGTGACCAAACACTTGTTCAGTAACATTTATATGCATAATACTTAGAATTATTTAAATAAAGATCACCCTGCAGTTCATAAGACTTGTTCTTTATTTACTTTAGGATGAGTTTTTATCATATACGTTCTGCTTCATACTTGCATCCATGTTTTATGAAACGTGACATCATTAGTTCATATGACTTAACAGAATAGTTAACCCAAAAATGAAAATTTGCTAAACTTTGACAACCTCAGGCCATCCAAGATGTAGAGGAGTTTGTTTCTTCATGGGAACAGATTTGGAGAAATGTAGCATTACATCACTTGCTCTCCAATGGATCCTCTGCAGTGAATGGGTGCCGTCAGAATGAGAGTCCAAACAGCTGATTAAAAACATCACAGTAATCCAAACCACTCCAGTCCATCAGTTAATGCCTGTGAAGAGAAACATTTTAAATTGAAAAGACATTGACGGACTGAGGTTATATGGATTAGTAGTGGATTGTGGTGTTTCTATCAGCTGTTTTGACTCATTCTGATGGCACCCATTCACTGCAGAGGATCCATTGGTGAGCAAGTGATGCTACATTTCTCCAAATCGGATCTGATGAAGAAACAAACTCCTCTACATCTTGGATGGCCTGAGAATGAGTCGATTCACCAGGTCAAATACAACTTGATATTCTTTCAGTGATGGCACTGAAAAAGTCATTTTTAAACGTCAGCTCGTGATAAATTTGCTAAAATCAAACCTTGTCCATGTAAAATATCCAATATTTCGTCAGTAACTCTCCGAAAAGTAGAAATTACACTGCGAAAAGGACAAATTAAAACAACTTTACAGCTCATACAGATTTTTGTACAGAAAAGCACTTTAAAAGAAAAAAAAGAAATGGCATATCTACTTCTGAACCTTCTCAAATTCCCCATAAACATCCATTATGATTGTTTCATGGTATGTTTTAACTTGTATACATCTTAGTCAGTTTAGACGCTGTATTTCATTTAACGTTGAAAATTAGGCTGTGAAAGACAGACTTAGTCTTTACAATGGCGCGCACTACATGAAGCTTTTGTTTACTGAACTTTTCTTTTTTTTCCAGAATCAGCATGTTGTTAAACATTCAATCCACTGAAAACACTGTACTTCAAACTAAAAATTAAACATTTACCCAGACTAAGGTCTATTAAAAGTGGAAATTAAAAGTCACTTTAACATTACTATTAAAGATGAATTCCTTAGACTTTGAAAGCATTTAATAAAGCATTTTCTGGGACATGATAAAAAGACAAATTAGGATGTTTTATCTTCAGCATCGAGAAGCTTTATTTAATTAAAGCACTGAAGGTATTTTAAGCCACAGATAAAGCTAAAATAATCCATACGGTCAAAAGAAATTCTGATAAGTTACAAATGACCCATCAAAAACACTAACAGAGAATGAGGCGAGTTAAAGAGTGTATTGTCTTTCGATCCATTTCACCGGTGCTGCCAACACACACGGTCAGAATAAGAATAGCTATTGTTCCCCATTATGAGCCATGAAACTCCTTCAGTGCTTTTGTCTGATCAAGTGTCATTCACCAGCTCAGGAATCAGAGTTGTACTTCCAGATGGCAAACTCTCCGTTGTCACTGCAGGTGGCCAGCAGTCCCGCCTCCTTCGGGTTCCAGGACACGCAGTTGACGTCCTGACCGTGGGCTTTGGGCACATGGGCTGACATGAAGAAGACGGGCTGCTCTGGGTCAACAGTGGGGTCTTCTTTGAATACTCGGACTCCATCATCGCCACACGCTGTGGCCAAGGCACCGGTCAGACGACACCTAACGTGAGAGAATGTCAAAATTAAGAAAAATGACATGCGTCGCTTCTGAACTCTGAGCCAACGACGGGGTTTCTGCAGGTTGTCTGCAAATCGCGGAAGTCGTGGCCTAATGGTTAGAGAGTCGGGACTCGTAACCCAAAGGTTTCAGGTTTGAGTCTCGTACCGGCAGGGATTGTAGGTGGGGGGAGTGAATGTACAGTGCTCTCGCCCACCTTCAATACCACGACTGAGGTGCCCTTGAGCAAGGCAAGGCACCGAACCCCCAACTGCTCCCCAGGCGCCGCAGTGTGTGCTCCGGGTGTGTGTTCACGATGTGTGTGTGTTCACTGCTGAGTGTGTGCACTTTGGATGGGATAAATGCAGAGCACTAATTCTGAGTATGGGTCACCATACTTGGCCACATGTCACGTCACTTTCACTTTCATTATTCTGAAGATAGGAAATACAATATATTCTTCAAAAGTAATATCTAAGGAGCAAACTCTAATGAAGAGTTGTGTTCATAGCAACTCTTTAAACTTTCAAAATACAACGTTCGTTTTACAAAAAATACTTGAATACCTCTGCTACCAACAACTACAATGCAGAAACTATGCCCGAACGTCATAGAAATTATGCCTAAACAATGTGAAAACAATCCCTCATGCAACTTATTAATTTCACACTTTTTGCTCCCATTTAAGGCCCTCATTTGAAAAAAAAGGTGACTTTAAACCCGTAAAGCCTAACATATGAAATAACAGCCCAGGGAAAAAAAGTTTTCATGTTATTTGTTGAGTATTGTATTTGATACATCAGGCTTTTAAGGCTCATTAAGTATGATATAGGAGAATATGGAACTCAAACTTGAGGAAAATCCTTCACTCAATTTTATTCAAAAATGTGCAATTTGGTGCAGATGCTGATATTTATATGGCCAAAAAGTAGATGAAATTCTCACAGCTTGTAAATGAATGAGATCCTTGTAATAGTAAAACAGACTACTTACATAAAATGATATTAATAGCAGTTGTTACTCTATATCTCCTATTAATCTGTTTAAATGCTTAGATGATCAAAGCTCTGTAGTTTCAAAACATATAATGCAATGCAATACAATGATGATTGAGAGAAATGAACAAATTAAGGTGTGTAACAAGTTTTGATCATGTTGATAATATAGAGGCCTTAGAAATTCCCATATCAGATATAATACAGTAGGCTTTATAGGGTTAAGACTTAAAGTTAACACAGTGCATCTTACCATGCAACATCATATACTGTTCTCCCGTGGAATCCAGACAAGGTACATACACACTTCCAGGACTCATCTGATGAACCTGCGACAAAATCACCATCACAGCCGAGCCAAGAACTACACACTTAAATAGCAATATAGAGTAAAACTCTAGAAATCCTACCACTCTCACCATCTGCAGGTGTCGACTCCTTCCAGATCTTCACGGTACGATCATCGCTACAAGATGCCAATCTCTGTCCCTCAGGGTCAAAGGCCAGACTCCAAACAGTGGATTCGTGACCCTCTAACGTGGCTCTACATTCCCAGTCATCATCCTCCTCTTTATAAATGCACACTTTGTTGTCATAACTGGCTGATGCGAGAAGCTGCAAAAGAAAATCAGTTTCACCTTTAGAAAAACAGTATGTGTGAGAAAACATTAAGAATGAGAGTGCTGGATAACACGTTTGTGAATATTATACCTCCTGTGTTGGGTGCCACACGACATGTTTAACGTCCTGCGTGTGTGAATTCACAACACTTACACACTCATATTCATCCTCCTCATCCACTAGAAGGAAAATAAAGGGTTTAACACAAATAATAGTAATCGTAATAATTACTATAAGTCAAGACACTACAGAAAAAAAAACTTGTTTTTTCATGCACTGGTCAATTTGGAGATTTTTGAGCTATTTTGCTTCCATAACTTTCAGACTAGTGCAGGGGTCTTCAACGTTTTTCAGGGCAAGGACCCCATAGGCGATGGAGACATGGAGCAGGGACCCCCTGATACAAAATGTGTCAAGCAGAGCTACATATTAAGCAGCATATAGCCTTTGATAGAAATCAGTCTTTGCCTCGCGTTCATGAGTTTTCTTTTCTTTTCGCACAAAACGTATTCTTGTAACTTCATAGAATTAAGGTTGAGCCACTGATGTCACATGGACTATTTTAACAATGTCTTTACTACCTTTCTGGGCCATAAAACATTTAATTTACATTGCGTTCTATGCAGGGTCAGAAAGCTCTTGGATTTCATCAAACATATCGTAATTTCTGTTCTGAAGATGAACGAAGGTCTTACGGGTTTGGAACGACATGAGGGGGAGTAATTAATGACAGAATTTTCATTTTTGGGTGAACTATCCCTTTAAACACCTCTGATTGCACATTGCATTCAAGAGATCTGTGAGATCTGTCTGTGATTGGCTACATCTCTCACCTACAAAAACACGCAGTAAATAGGAACATTTCACGTTCTCGGAGCTCAAACTCAAAACGCAATGGAGCGTTTGCTAAATCGGGTTCGCCAATAATATTATATCATTGCAGTATCAACTGATACTGGGGTTTCAGGGTGCTTATACTTAAAATGGACTTTGTGATGTTTTTTTACCCTTGCTTTTTTTAATTACTTCATCAGACATTAATTGGCAGACTCCCTGCAGTACCACTGCGGACCCCTGGTTGAAGACCCTTGGACTAGTGAAAAGAAAACATCTTAAATACACATTAAAATGTTTATTTTATCACATTTGATCTTTTTTGTCTGTAGATTTCAATTACAATACAAGGCTGTTTTCTCAAAATAAGACTTTTTCTCATGCACTGAGCCAGAAATCTCCACTTCAGTAGAACTTACATGGACGGAACATTACAGTTTTATTCCCATCGTTTGTTTATATATCATTTGCCTGATTTATACAACATTTTATTCCTAAAACGTGGTGATATGTATGTATACGTATACATACTTATATATATATATATATATACACATACACACACACATACTAGGGATGCTCCAATCCGCCTTTTTCGCCTCTGATACCGATTCCGATAACTAGGGTTCGGTATTGGCCGATACCGATACGATCCGATACCAGTGAAGTTTTTTCCCCCTAATTTAAATAAATGTAGAATTTATATATCTCTGTGTGTGGAACTGATAATCATTCTTTCACAATCTACTAGATACAGACTACTTCATTATAAAGAAAAATTTAATAAACAATAAATATGAAAAAATTTAGGCCTATGTATATTTACAATCTATGACAAATTTATCATAAACTAGGTTAGTGGAACATTAAACTCCGGCAAGAAGATAAATCCTTTTTGCAAAATCATAGACATGTATTTACAAATCAAGTATAATGGGAACACAGAATGATCTCGGAGAGAGCTTTACCGAGCTGACTGCTGTAACCGAACGCGAGCAGGGTTTAAAGTCTGAACGAATGACTGACAGCCACAGCGGAGAAAAGAGTTTGTGTGAACTTTAATGTAAGGACTTAAATATTCATATGTAGCTCACATTAAGCTATCGTATGGCTTCAGAAGTAACACAGAATAATTTGCACAATCGAAAAAAAAAAAAATCACAAGAGTAAAATGACCGATACCCGATCCGAGAAAAATGGCATTATCGGAGCCGATACCCGATATTAATATCGGATCGGCGCATCCCTAACACATACACATACATATATATATATATTTCTGGCTGTTAACAGTATTTGTTAACAGTATTTTCTGATTTATGGAGTATTTAAAATAGATATCCAATATTCCTTTTGCAAAACCTTTAACTCTACTATACCAACAAAATGAAAATGGCTTTAGCTAATGATCAGATTTCTGGAAATGTATGCAAATATTGTATGCATATTTAATTAGATAATGTCTTATATGCATATTTAAACAACCTTTCAGAAAACTTGTAATGCAAAACAGTTGTGTTAATCTACTTTGATTACTTAACTGGGGAATTATGGTGATACATATACTAACTTAAAATTGCTACCTTAAAGTCAAAGTCAAACCTTAAAGCGAAAATGAAATCAAAAATGTACTTTCTTAGAACGCATTCCTTGTCTTATTATGAACTATTCGTCAGTGCATGTCATTTGTAATTTTGCTATAGAGAGACCTGACATACCTTCCCAGATCCAAACACTTTTGTCTCTGCTGCAGGTGGCTAGTAAGTTTCCAGACGGAGCCCAGGCGACACACTTGACCTCGTTTTCATGACCTTCTAACACTGTCAGGGACTGTAAACACACATGACGGACATGTCAGTCTGACAACATGTGAATGATGTCGCTTCCTTGAATTTTTAAGGGTCTGAAACTATGCTTATTAGGGATGCACCGATATAAAAATTTTGGCCGATACCGATAACCGATTATTCTTTATTTTTGAAAGCCGATAACCGATATGTTGGCCGATAAATCTATATCCAAATTGTTATATACTTTTTGAGAGCCTGATTACAAAAAAGGTCTCATCATTAAAAGCCACATCCCAAACACTTCAACATAAGCAGCCTAGTTTGAACGGTGTACGTTTTAAAAATATTTTTACTCTCCCATTACCAAATTTAGTCATAAAAAAGCCTTACAAATAAATAAAATTATGCATAAATAATGCAAACAAGTCACTGGACATCATTACACGTGTAAAGAATCAAAATGAATGCGCCACAGATCAATAAAACGGAATAGCCTCTGCACGGACAATAATTAAATGATTTTAATTACTAAACCATATTGTTGATGAAAATAATAAGAGAACAATACAAGTGGTTGTTGTTATTAATAATGTATCAATGATTTTGAAAAAGTAACAAATTAATACCACTGTTTTAAATAGCAGCCGTTGAGCTGCGCGTGCTGAAGCTGAAGAGCTGAATGAACATGGTAAACTGAAGCGTTTTGCTGGCAGCTTATTTAACTCAAGGAAATGCATCCTGAGATTAATATTAATACAACATAAACATAATATTACAACTTATATATGTACAAAATGACGCAGTTATTGCATGCTATAGTCAGAATGTGTGATCCTGTTGTGGATGCGCTCTTCCCATATCAACGCGCTGAAACACGGCAACTAAACCCAAAGAATTCCCAACGTTTTATTATAATAATGTTCTCATTAGAATTTTATATACACGACATTCCCAATCATAGTTATTAATGTTGTGCACTGCTGTTTGAGCTGCGTGTGCTGAGCTAAAGATGATCACTGGTAAACTGAAGCGCTCTTTTAACTTAACCAAACGCATTCTATATGAGATAAATCAGATATACATCAAATAAACACAATATTACAATGTACAATTGCACAAAAGGCTGCAAACGAACAGCGCGCATCTGAAGTGTCTCTGAAGGAAATAATGCATTATTTATCGGCTTTAAGATATCGGCCAAATTTTCTTATCAGGCTGATACCGATAACAGAAAAAATGAGCCGATATGGGCCGATACCGATATGGTGGCCGATATATCGTGCATCCCTAATGCTTATGCAAAAGCAAACCTCAAAATCATCATTCGTCTTCTTCCAGATGCATGTTGTGGCATCAAAGCTGGCTGATGCCAGATATTTCCCGCAGGGAGACCAGGCCACCGTTCTGACTGTACGCTGGTGTCCATCATCCAGGACACACTTACACTCCCAACTGTCCCCTGAGAATACAGATCAGACACAAACAAGAAAAATAAAATAAGATGAATATATACTGCCAGTGAAAAGTTTGAAATAATTAAGATTTTTAAAATGTTTTTAAAAGAAGAAAGATGTTCACCAAGGCTGTATTTATTCAATACAGTAAAAACAGTAATATTGTAAAATATTATTTTAATTTAAAATAACAGTGTTCTATCTGAATATATTTTAAAATGTAATTAATTTCTGTGATCAAAGCTGAATTTTCAGCATCATTACTCCAGTCTTCAGGTGTCCGGAAAATTCAGCTTTGCCATGTGAATAAATGACATTTTAAATTATATTTATATAGCAAACAGCTATTTTAGACTGTAATAATATTTCAGAATATTTTGCGGTATTTTTTCATCATATAAATGCAGTCTTTGTGTGGCGTCGTTCAAAAACATTACGAAAATATACGAAAATGTGATCGCCTGTGTGTGTGTGTGTGTGTGATGTACAACAATCTATAATCAGATACCGTTTTGCAAGTACATGTTAAATAAATAGCAAAAGGTGTGTAGGGTGTTGCATAGCCTATATTATTAGCTTTTTGTGCATCACTGTACATATTACCTTCAACTTGACATATACTTCAGCTTTCATATATAAGTGCATGGTTTCATACGGCGATGTGTGGAAGAAAAAAAACCCATGCATGTTGTATTTTTACCTTCTTTACCCCAAATTCTTATCGCGCGGTCCCCGCCGCATGACGCGAGCCAAGTACCAGACGGGCTCCACGCGACGCACCAGCAGCGAGCATCCGGGTGAGCGCTCACCCGCTGCAGCAGCTCCAGAGCGCCCTTCATCTCAGATAACGTTACCTGTATGATATTTGTGATTATATGACATGCAAGTCCTCCGCCGTCAGCTGCGCGGTTCTCTCTCAAATGTCACAACTTCAAGACTTGTGTTTATCAGCAGCTTCCCACTTCCTGCTTTCTTCTTCTTCTTTACATTTTAATGGCGGTTGGCAAACCAACTGAAAGGTGCATTTACCGCCACCTACTGGACTGGAGTGTGGACACTTCCTGCTTTGTGCTTCGGCGTTTTCCTGTTGATACAAAAGCGCGGCAGCGGCGCCACCATCAGGCCTGTAGCGAAAGTGTTCATGAGCTTGTTGACGTTCAAATCTTTCCAATACAGTGAGACCTATTATCATTTAGCTTTTTAATTACATTTTATTAATGTTATGAATTATTATTTTTTAAATGTTTTATTTAAATACATTTGGTTTTATTTTAACTGAAAGCACGTCTTCAATTTCTGTTTTAGTTTATTTAATTTCCTATAATAGCGCAATGTGAAATAAGAGTTAGGGTAAAATAAAAGTGAAATGATCTCTGCGTGAACATATGTGTATTATGAGGAAATCTTATATTTCATACCATAAACAGACAGAGCTGGGTAGATTATTTACCAATTGTAGTCCGTTACTGATTCCACATTACATGACAACAATTGTAGTTTGTAACGTAATCCATTACATTACACATTACGATTGATTACTTTTAGATTACTTTGGACCAAACTCATTTATCACATTGATTTGAATAGGATAATCATGTTGATACAAAAAGCAAGAAAATATATTCCATTCGTTGTTATTAATAACATGAAGTGCATCGTCAAGGTTTCCCAAACTGGGGTTCCTGAGTTTAACGAAAAGCTTACAATTAATTAAAATCACAATATTGTCAAATAAAAATAAAAATAAAACACTTACTAAAAAATTGATTATTTTGTTTGTTTACCTGTATGTCATGTGACCATTAACAAATATCAGAGGCCTGTGAACATGCAAATGTGATACTTGTTGTTTATTTTAAAATCTCAGGGGTACTTCAAGTAAATATATTAGGTGAAAGTGATTCAGATGACAAAAAAGTTTGGGAATGCCTGCATTACATGTAAATAAGAAACTACAGATGTGCATTTTAATGTGTTTGAAAGACAAAAGCCTTCCAAAGACATAGTAATACATGTTTAAATAACCTACTGAGTAATAATACTAATTAAAATTAAAGTGTTATCAGTAGTTGCTGCAATGTTAAAACACTTTTTCCCCCTGAAAATGATTTTTGTATGGCCAAGTGTTGTGTGGCCTCTCAAGTTTCAGTGTAATTATAGCCACCTGACTGCTAGTGACTGCTCTTTGTGTGAATGTCCACACAACTGGAAGACTTTCTGAGAGTATATAAGCGGTAGGCTATTTTAGAAAGGAACATTTAAAAAGATGAAAAATAGGAATTGGGGAGAATCAATAAATTATGAGTAATATTGCTATTGTGTAAATAATATGTCATCGTGTAACCAATATAAAAGTTACTGTAGTCTGAGTACGAGTATTTTAAAATGTAATTTAATCTAATTACAAGCACTTAATTTTTGGAATCTGATTACGTAATCCAGATGACGTAATTAGTTAGAATAGTTTCGATTCTTCACATTAAACGTGCTTTAGGACTGACGTCAGCTGAAGGACGCTTCTGATTGGTTCAAACGGCAACACACAGGAAACGGAAGTGCGCGGCAGGAGGAGCTCTCCGTCTGATGGAGGAAGTGGACGGACTATTGTTTACGCTTTTTACTGGAAACCAACAATAAAACACACGAAAATGTCTACGATATAGCGGAGACCAGAGGGATAATTCGAGACTGAACACATTATATATTTGTTTTACTAAGTGGTTTTATATTTCGGTGGGATTTGAGAAGGTTTTGAAGGGTTTTGTGAAGGTGTAAGGCCATAAGTGATCAAATCTGATTAAAAACTGACAAGAGGAGCTTCAGTTACAGCAAACAGGTAAATATACGGTTTAAATAAAAGGTATAATATACTATTAATCGTTTGGTATACAACTGGAAGATTGAAAAAAAAAAAAATCGCAGTATTGTTTATGTCTTTTTCTGTTATTAAGTGTGTATGTTTATTCGGACCAGTAATTAATCATTTAAAACTAGTTAACATAATAATGATTAAAAGTGATAAACAAGTAGGTTAAGCTGCTGTATTATCATTAGTGTCTGCCTACCAATAGTTTTGTTATTAATAATAAAAATAAGTCGTTTTATTAAAAAAAAAAAAAAAAAAGAATCTGCTGAATGCCTACATGTAAATTATTAATCGTTTTGAATATTATTATTTTCTTTATTTTGATTTCAAGCAGATTTCCCTGCTCTAATTATTGATCTCTAATTTGTGTAATCAATCAATAAAATTCTTAACATACTACAAACTCAGTTCTTAGTCTTTTCCATGAATTAAAACACACGTAGTCTCATGTTTCGCTCCAGATTACTGTAACATGATTTTTGTTTTGATTTGTGTCTGTAGTGCCCAGCGGAGGTCAAACCCCAGATCTGTCCACTCTCACTCAAACTCATATTTGAGTTTTACTGTTTTAATCAAGGGTTTTCAGAGATTTTAAGACCATGTACGCACCCCCGGGAACAGCTGCGCCTGGAAACCGGAGGAGGAGAGCTGGAACAGCTCTACCCAAACATCCAGAGCGGAGTTTAGCATCCGCACTGCCCGGGGCGCTTTCAATCACTGCACTCTGTACGGCCCTGGCAGAACCAGCCTGGCTCCGCGTCCATGGTGGAAACTGTCCTAGACAGGAGCTCGGTGTTGCCGACGTCCTGGGATACATAGATGACAAACTCATTGAGGGTTGGTATCCCAAACTGAGATAAACTGCCTAAGATTTTTGAAAAAGTCTCCTCTGCTCACCAATTTTGATTTATTTGATCAAAATTCTGTAATATTGTGAAATATTAATACAATTTAAAACAACTGTGTGTGTATTGTAATATATTGTAAAATGTAATTTTATTCCTGTGATCAAAGCTGTATTTTCAGCATCATTACTCCAGTCTTCAGTGTCACATGATCCTTCAGAAATCATTCTAATATGCTGATTTGCTGCTCAAGAAACATTTCTGATTATTACCAATGCTGAAAACAGTTGTGCTGCTTCATATTTTTGTGGAAACCGCAATCAAACTTTTGAACGGAAGTGTGCACAATTACATTTTGAAGTCGAAAACTGAGTTCTCCTACTTGCACTTTTAATGATAAACTGTTTTGTTCATTCTCTCTCTCACAGATTACTGCATCAACTCTCAGTCCATCCTGCTCTTGCGGGTTATTGCTGCTTTCTGTTTCTTGGGCATTTTGTGCAGCCTCACGGCATTTCTGTTGGATGTCTTTGCACCCAAACATCCAGCCCTCAAGATCACACGCAGATACGCTTTCGCTCACATCCTCACAGGTACGACGAATTCATGAAGGATTTAGTTCTTAATATAAAGAGTTATTTTTTTGTAGTATTAAATGTATAGTTCATTCAAAAATGAAAATGCTGTCGTCATTTACTCACCCTCATGTAATTTCAAAACTGTTAGACTATTGTTAATAAATCCTGAGAGGTTTCTGTTCCTCCATTGAAAGTCCTGGTCACCAAAAGTTAAAAGATCCATAAAGGAATGATAAAATGGATCCATATGTATTGAGTGGTTTAATACAAGTCTTGTGAAGAGATACAATTACTTTATATGATAAACAGATTCAATTTTGGATTTAATAATCAACACACATACCTAAGGCACATCACATGGAGGATGGATTTTCTTTTTCCCTAAAATCCTAGTTAATGTTGCAATGGACTGAAACTTACTGACTTTGCTCACAAAGGGTATAACAACTTTATAATTTTTAGGATCCCGACACTTGTGGTGTTCCTGATCAAAATTGACGAGCCTACAAAAATGGCTTATAAATCTCTCATAATGCTATATTATTACCAAATCTGTGATTCAGTCTTTTTGTCAGCTTGTTTTCTTTGAATTAGTTTAAATTATTAATACGTTTTCTATTTCTTTTTTAAACTGTTTGATCAAAGGCCTCATTGATCTGATCTCATGCACCTCAGTTTTTGAGTGAACATTGCCAAAATTATGCACAAATAATGCTTTTTCACTCAAAAACTTAGGTGCATGAGCTCAAATCAGGCCTACAACTAATCAGTTCCCAGAAGATATTTAAAAAACTGTGCTAATTCTCTTTTTTCCCCCCTCGTCTCAAGAATTATCTGCGTCCACACGAAACCAACACAAAACGATGTAGTATACATGCCAGACCAGCATGTGGCGCTGTAATTCTGCCACAGAGATACACTACAAACGGAGAAGACTTGGACTATGCGCATAAACTGTGCGC